TTAATTATATTAATTTAATTTATTTAACTAATTATATCGTGTCGATTTGATTTATTTATTTTCATACAATGTTCGTGTTGACACGTATAACTTGTGAATAAAAAATTTAATGCTAAAATTTAAATTTAAAATTCTATTACTACTTAATTGTATTTATGTTCATACTTTCCAAATAAACTAAAAATTAACTTAATAAATATAACAATAAAAAAATTACTAAAAATATCTTTTTTATCCAATAATTATGTCTAAACAATAACAAATAAGTGACATTTTATTCCTATAGTACTAGTTAAACGTGTTAATTTCGTATTATTCGTATTTGACACCATTTAATTCATTTATTATTTGTATTAATGGATCGTGTCATTTATGAATTTTTGTTAAAAAATAATCAACCTGAACCTGTTAATTTTGTGATTTTTTTTATGTTGTGTCATAAATTATCACCCCTAAATTGAGGGTTGCAAATTCCGTACAAGTTACAAGTTATTGCATGTACAATGTATAATAGAGTGGGATTTAGGTCTAGAAAAACTTTGGATGTTGGGTGTTGGGTGTTGGCTTGGCCATCCAATATTAAATGGACTGCCACATTCACTTTGAATTGAATTCTTGGGCCATCCTTCCTTGTCCACTAAATGTGGCGTCGGCGATGAAAATTATTAGGATAAATAGCACTTTGCACTCTCAAAAATCAAAAAAAAATTTAATTTGTATTCTTAAAAATTAATTATTTTAAAGTGCATCCTCAATTAAATTAATTAGTAACAATGTGATTCCAATCATAACGTCAATTGCGATTTTTATCAAATTGATAGACACGTCAGACATACGTGAAAAGGGAAAGAATCATTATCTAACAAGTCGTCACATGTATTTCACGTGACTTTAAATTTGACAAAAATCGCAATTCTAGTTATAAATGTCCATGACGATTTTTATTAGGTTGACAGGCCCGTGAGAAGCACATGAAAAGGGAAACGTCATAATCCGATAAAAGTCATCAGGTGCTTCTAACGTGGTTGACAATATGATGAAAATTGCAACGAACGTTATTATTAGGGTCACATTGCTACTAATTTATTTAATTAATGGTGCAATTTAAAATAATTGAACTTTGAAGGTGCAAATTAATTTTTTTTAAATCTTTCGGAGTGTTAAATGCTATTTTTCCAAATTATTAACAATGTAAGAACCAATAAAGTTAATTCTTATTCCTTTTGATTATTTTTTTTTTGAACAGGAAAGTAAAATTTCATTAAAAAACCGAATTAAGGTTACAATCAATAGAAAGTACACGTCTCAACTCCGTGGGAGGGTTAAAAACCCAGCCTACCGGAAGTGAAGAAGACATTCTCGTTTTGGCCACCCAATGGGCTGCCTTGTTTGCTATACGAGGATTATGTACCAAACTAAGTCTAAGGTTGTTAGAAATCACTTTGATATCTTCCACCAAAGATGCAATCTCCCACAGAGGAGCATCCTCCCTAGTGCACAATGAGATCAGAACTTGTGAATCACTCCCCACAATAGCCTCAGACCTCTGTAGAGCCGAAAGCCGCATGCAAGCTTCACGCAAGGCCAATGCTTCCGAATAAAGACTAGACACAAAAGGAGACTGCAGTGTTAATCCATCTAAGACTGCACCTGTGTGGTCCCTGATAACCACACCTATTGCTGATTGTTTCATCCTCTCATTAAAAGCTCCATCGCAGTTCGCCTTTAACAAGCCAGTGGGAGGTCTTAGCCAGTTGGCTAGGACTGGATGGTCCAGAGTTGGGGGAAGGCACTGCTAATTCCGAACAGAATATTGAGAGATGATCTCTTCTCAATCGAATTGCACTCTTTTTAGTGCGATTGCTGGATTGGGGAGAGCCGATTGAAAGATAACATCATTCCTCAGTCTCCAAATAGACCACCCAATAAACGCAACTTTACTAAGAACCTCCATCGCTTGGTGAAAAGAGTTCAGATTCTCCACTAAATTGGATGTCCAAAATTTCGCAAAAACAATATTCTGGCTCTCCATTCTTAGGGTCAAGTCTGACTTAAACCAAACTTTATGTGTCCATTCGCAACCAAATAAAAGGTGCTTTATTGTTTCAACCTTATTTCCACAGATCTGGCAGAGTGGGGAGGAGCTTCATTTTCTTCTATAGAATTTCTCTTTCATCTCGAGAGCATTTGAACATACCCTCCACCAAAAGTGTCTTACCTTTGGTGTTGTTTTCATACTCCAAAATGATGTTCCACAAATTAGGATGTAGCCGTGAGGAGGAACTGCTCCCCTGAAGAGCAGTGGAAGTCTTCGTCCTCCTTGCCTCCTTATAGCTTGATTTTACTGTATATTGACCCCTAGCATCGAAATGTCATATCCTCTTATCCAGCCCCCTCATTTTCGAGACTGGAATAGATGTGACAGCTCGTCGTTCTTCTGCAGTGGTAAACTTCCCGAGAGAATTTAAATCCCAACACTTTGATGCCTGGTTAATTACATCCTTAACAAGCTCAATGTTACAGTTCCAAGGCTTAGGCGAGATAACTAAGAATCCAAACAGGGTCGGGATCCATCTATCATTTCAGAATTTAATCTGCTCCCCATTACTTACCTGTCATCTAAGACCTTTAGCTAGCAATTCTCTTCCCCTCAATAGGTTGCTCCACATCCAAGACGGTCTTGTTCCTCTTCTAGCCTCCATGAAGTCCAAATTCGAAAAATATATCGCTCTCAGAATTCAAGCCCAAAAGGAATTTCGACTTTGTATTAGTCGCCAGAATTGCTTAGCCAATAGTGCCAAATTAAAACAATGGAAATCTATGAAACCCATACCCCCTGACACCTTTGGTAATGTCATGCCATCCCAGCACTTCCACGGAATTCCACTAGTCTCTGAATTCCGACCCCACTAGAAACGTTGAACACACTGAGTCAATTTATCACACAATTTATGTGGGAAAATTAAACACGACATTGCAAAATTGGGAATAGCCTGAACAACCGATTTAACAAGAACCTCTTTCCCCACCTGGGAAAGGTAGACTTCATTCCACCCTTGGATTTTCTTCATGACCCTCTCTAATAAATTATTAAAAGTTTCAGCTTTTGATCTTCCTCACATAGTAGGCAGACCTAGGTATTTTGTATTGTCTAGGAGAGCTTCAATTTCCATCAACTGGCTCATGGTACTCCTCAGATCCTCTGATGAATTTGAAGAGAAAAGAATTCCAGACTTGCTGAGATTAATGAGTTGTTCTGTCGCTTCGCAATACCTTTGCAAGATCAGCTTCAGCTTGGTCCCATCCTGTTTTCTAGCCCTAAGGAAAAAGAGAGAGTCATCAGCGAAAAACAAATGGGATAGTATGGGACTTCTCTGACAAATTCTCCAAGGTTTGATTGACCCCTCGAACTCCTCTTTCTGAACCATCCTTGAGAGAACATCAGCCACAAAAAGAAAGAGATAAGGGGACAGCGGATCGCCCTGACGGAGACCCCATTGAGGAGTCACCTCGCACCTAGACTCCCCGTTGATGATCACCTCAAATTTGAATGTGCAGACACATTGTATAATGAGATTTATCCATCTTAGAGAAAATCCCAATGTTTGCAAGATTGATTCCAGAAAATCCCATTCAACCCAATCATAGGCATTGTTCAGATCAAGCTTGATGGCCATGGATGGAGATTTGCCTCTCTTGTTTATCTTTAGTGTGTGGAAGGCTTCATTTGCAACCAATATACTGTCTTGGATGTGTCTTTGGGGAACAAAGGCTGCTTGATTAGGCGTCACTAGGTGATGGAGAAATTTCTTTAGTCTATTAGTCAGCACCTTTGAGGTAATCTTGTATACGAAGTTACACAGTGTTATAGGCCGAAATTGGTAAGTCAAAACATATGAAGACAATGCTGGCCTAAATACAATGACTTTCCTTGCCTACCACATTATATATACAATCCCACCCACCCTCTCTCTCAATGGAGGAACCACTTCCATCTTAGTTCTCTCTCAATCTTCTCCCTCTCCCAACCTCTCGCCCAATTCAGAAAAAAAAATGTTGGGAAAGATGGGTTCAGTGAAGAAACTAGCCAAGTAGGTGAAGTTCGATCGGGAGTCATCGCAACATGAGTGTTTGCCTTGGGAGAAAGAAATGCAATCGCCTTCCGCAGCCCCAACTGGGTTTTTTGGCAATCTATGTTGGAGAGGAGAGATGACGATTCATGGTGCCAACCAGGTACCTCTCTCATCCTCTATTCAAAATAATGTTAGAGAAGGCATACGACGAGTTCGGGTCTGAGCAAAGTAATGGGCTAGTGGTTCCATTTAGTGTTACTACTTTCCAAGAGGTGGTAAATGCTGTGGAGTGCTGCAATGGAAGGTTTGATTTTCGAAATTTGGTTGATGAGTTTATTTAGGTAACAAAGATATATGGCAGTATATTTTGATCACTCCTAAGTGCTTTGGGAGTAATGATCTCATTGTGTTCTGGAGTATTAGTTCCATGAATTCATGTACTGGAACATTAAATGTATACTCTTCAATGCAGATTTGGATCAGTTTGGAACAAATTGATCAGAGAGAGAGAGAGAAATTGCATTACTTTTGGTTAAAACAGATGTTGCAAACAACCCACAAATCTAAAGTGTCATCGATAGAATCTCCTTAAGAAAAACTAGCTGGCACTCTCCACATAGTTACTGCCATTTACAAGAATTCTCTTCATCTCATCAATCAGCTCTAGCATATGTTCCCTCGAATGTAGTGGTGATGGATGTACACATATACAAATGCACAATCTAATTCCCCATCCCGTATCGTGTCAAATATAGCAATTGATGGGCCTACACTATGAACAGAAGCACACCCTATATAGTCCTCCACTCCAATCTCTTGATGCAATTATCCAGGGTTATCAATGGCCTTGACCATGAGAAAGATAAGGTCATTCATGTCCCAGAAATGCTTCTAATTATTTTTAGCATTTGCAAATGACATGTAGGTTCACTTTGCCAGCTCCCAAAGGTTTTCCCCTTCTTTTATGTCATGTGTATTCATGATAGCAGAATGGTAAAACCCTGCATCATTTAGGGACATCATGTTGAGTACATCAATTCTTCGTGACAAAAAATATTTACAAAGATTGAAATTGAGAGGAAGCAAATTGAGAGGAGTAATGAATTGCTGGTCAATAAGGGAAGAAGAAGAAGAACAAAGATGGTCAATAGGACTTCATGCCATAAATATAACCCCCACACCAACTCACAGTATAAACACGTGCATATTGACAACTTAATACCTTATTATTGAGTGAAACAAACTCTAACTAGGAAACTAAAAAATAATCTACTTAGTAAAACTAAGTAATTAATAATGTGCTATTTGAGATGTGGGACACTTGGAGGCTTACCAAAATTGCGGCAACTAAGAACAGGATGAAGCATGGAACGACAATCAGTGAGTGTTACGACTGCATACTTCTGCCATTGGTCAGGAAGACAATTACTGGAATGAGCTGCAATCAATCCGGCAGCTGCCAAGAGCCCGCATAACTTGATTCCCCTTGATTTGCAGCACTGCAAAATTTACACCAATCTAAGACTCTCAACAATAGCAGATAATGGCTATTAAAGCATCAAATCATAAAATATCCCCTCTAACCAGTAAATTTATAATTCTCAATCCCCCAGACATTATTATATACACCTATCTATGTATGCATGCATCGTACATATGTACATAATGTTTGATAAACCTGCATTTTATCTCCTTGTGACTTGGTCAAGTTTCACCTCAGATTTGCTCTTCCCATGCTCAGAAAATATGTAGTTGATTTCGTTTGAGCTATGGCTGAAGTACAACTATCAGTCTTTTAATTAAAACTAAAAGCAAACATCTAACATCAACTGCTTGGCTAAATATAATGAGTCAACATGACCTGATATCTTCTTGAAAATTGATAGTTTCCTTTCTTTTTGGAGGTAAAAAATAGATTTTCACCAACTTTTTCAAGAGACTATATTCATGCAGTGAGAGATTGTGCAAGTTGAGTAGCAATTAAGAAAAGTCGGGAAAAAACACAAAATATAAATTCTTTTGTATTTGGAGGCTCCTCTCTCACCCTTGTGAGTTGTGACTAAATGACTAGTTCATCAACACAAGGACTTAAATGCATATTTCCATATTTTAAATACAACTCCGTCAAATCACATAGAGGTAGAATAATATGATCTCTCGAAACTTGTTAATATTGAAGACAACTCAATCCCTCCCTCCCACCCAAAATAGAAGATTAAGAAAGATCAAACAGAAAAGATAGTGAAACCTGTATGATTTACCCTGAAATAATTCATTGTGATCTTAAGTCTATGGTCCATATGTGTACTGGTCCCATCCCATGGATTTTTGCTTGGGTGCATCTAATTGTGACGGAAAAGACAAAGCAAACTAAGGAAGGTTATCCCTACATGCATATAAAAGGTCAATGAATACTCGAGTCAGGACAAACAGTGACAATGAGTGATTCCTTCTCTGCCGAGTGCCAACTAAAGGTGGGTCAACTTCATAATTTTGTTTTCTTTCCCATGTCTCTTAAGTTTTGGATTTTAAACTACTTGCTATCACTGTTATACCAGAAAGCTAATGAGATGAATTCCAACTTCTCTAATGTCATATAACTTCATATTAAACCACTAGGTAGAACCATAGAAGTACGATTTGAATTGGAGGTAGTTATTATTTGAATGTAGTGCTGCAATGGAAGATGCTCCATAGCATCGATGAAGGTTAGAATCCATTATACAACTGAATTTTCCCAAAGTTTCAAATATTGATTACCCATTAATGAAATTGAAGAAATTCTGTATTGGACCAGATCTAGAAATATAGTCACCTTACCAATGAGGCAAACAGGAACAAATTCACTCTAGGAAACAGATAACAGTTAGGCAATCAACACAAAAATTTCATGGTTTTGACAAGTATTACCTCTAAAATGTCTTAGAAAATTGGTTTGCACAAGTTTGTAATTGATAGTAGCATTTCTAACTTGTGACCAGATAGCATTCTAGATGGGTCATGTTAGGTTTGTGTACAATAGGATTAGTGTCGTCTATAACCAGATTCATATCATTACTTCTTTTTTTTATAATGTTGACTGAGATCAACCCCATTGTGATCCATATGAGGTAATTTCGCGTCGATTTCATATGAGTTAAACATTGTGTCAAGAATTGTTGGTGTAATGACTTGGTTGAAGAAATTTACCAAGGACAAAGAAATCCCACTTACCAAAAGAATTCGATCAGTATCATCCGAATTCAGCTGTAGCTTCACTACTTGTGATGATCTAGGCGAGTCAATGCCCTTGAAATTCAAGTTTGCCAACCTCAAAGAATTCAAAGAGTACCCAAGCATGTCCACTCCGTGAGCCCAAAATGGTTTATTAGCTTTCCCAGGGGGAATATAATCCTCAATTCCCAAACCAACCTCCATTTCCTCTTCTACTTCCCTCTTTAACTCCAACTCTTCCTTCTTTCCCTCACCTATCAGACCCAACAACTCCCTCGGCAATGAAACTGCCGAGGTCTGGTCACACGCCGACGTGTGAAGCCGGAGCATCGCAGCCCATCTGTCATCACTTAGAGTGTACACACTGTACACACTCGCAAAGAACACGTCAATTTGAGAGTCCAACGAATCGTTGTTAGCACACCAGGTGTTTGTATTAATTTCGCGCTCAAGAATAAGGTGGAAGTGAGACATGAGGGGGGGGTTTGTGGGGATTGATTAGTCGTTGTAGGATGTCAGATGTTGATAGAAGATCGAAGAGTTGGTAGCGGTATTGTAATAGCAGATCAGTATCAGCTGTACCCTTAGGAGCAGATCAGTATCAGCTGTGCCCTTGGCCTTAGGAGTCTGTTATGACTCAGTCATATTTGCTATTATTTAAACTTTATTGACTGTATACTTCCAGTTGTATTTCTCCTAGTATATAGGATCTGTAACAACTTCATTAGCTCTCAGTTGTAATCATCCTCTGTATATATTCAGCTATTGGTTTAATAAAAAACAAGGAGGCAAAAGCCTATTCATTCTTCATTCTGTCATGGTATCAGAGCATAAGTGCTAGTCCATTTTTTTTTTTTTTTCCTTTCTTTCCTGCCTTCAGTCTCCTCTCTCGCCACAATGGCCACAACTCCTTCTGAAACCACCTTTCAAAACACCAATGACAGTCATAATACACTCATCACCATCAACGTAGCTGCCCAAACTCCTCTTAAACTCACATCCAGTAACTATCTATCTTGAAAATTACAGTTTCACACCCTCTTCATTGGGTATGACCTCCTAGGCTATGTTGATGGAACAAAACAATGTCCCACCGCCCCCATCACTCAAAATACCACCACCTGCTCCAATCCAGCATTTACTCTCTGGATTAGACAAGACCAGCTCATCCTCAATGCCCTCATTGGCTCCCTCTCCCCAACTATCATTCCCTTCATTGCTCAATCCAAAACTTCTTGTGAAGCATGGAATACCTTGGCCAACACATACGCCAACCCATCTCGCGGACGCATCAAGCAAGTTAAAACCACTCTAAAGAAACTCACCAAAGGTTCTGAAAGTATCTCAGAATTTATGCAGAACATCAAAGTCCTATCTGATGAACTCGTCCTTCTTGGTCATATTGTGGCGGAGTTTGGAGTTGAGGATTGGGTGGGACTTCTGGAGTTGGTGAATGGCGTTTTGGAGGAGTGATAAATCAATTGGTTTTGAGATGAGGAGGGCGAAGACAGTTATGCCAGTGCCGCCGGCGACGGCTTTGAACCAATTGTACTCGGTCAGTCCCACCGGTCGGCACTTGGGCTCCGACATGAGTGTCGTAATGTGAGAGAGAGAGAGAGAGAGAGAGAGAGGATTGAACAAAAGAATTTTGGAGTGAACAAAAGAATTTTGGGTAAATTTCGCTGATGCCCCTACATTTGTCATATTTCAATGATACCTCCTTTAATTTTTAAAAATATCACGACAAACCCCTATAGTTTATACACACGTTTCACAAACTAACTACCTCTAATGTGAAATGATGGTTTATTCTCTTATAAATTGCCAAATTTACCCTTAGACATATAAAATAAGTTTAAAATAATAGCAAACATTCTTTTAATATTAATTTAATTAAATTAAATGTTAATTGGATTAAATAGAATATTTTCTATAAAAAAATGAATCAAACAAAATGTTAATTTGGTGTTGATTTTAAAAAATAATATTAATTCGATAAAACTAAATATTAAATTCAAAAAATTAAATGTTAATTTTATAAAATTGAATGACCATTTGGTATTGATTTGATGAAATTAAATATTAATTTAAAATCAAGCAAAAAAAATGATGGTAGTTTTGATAAATTGGAAGTTAAATTGATAAAATTAAATGCTAATTTAGAGTTAATTTGATGAAAATGAATATCAATTTCATGTTAATTTGGTAAAATTTTGTATTAATTCGATAAAATTTAATATTAATTTGATAAAATTGATAGTTAATTTGTTGTTAATAGATAAAATTGAATATTAATTTGATAGTTAATTTGATGAATTTTAATGTGACTTTGATAAAATTGAATGTTAATTTGGTGTTAATTTCATGAAATTAAATATAATTTTGGTATGAGGTTAATAAAATTGAATGTTAATTGGATGAATTAAATGTTAATTCGATGAATGTAAAAGTTAATTTGGCAAAATTTTGATGTTAATTTGATAAAATTTAATGTTAATTTAGTGTTAATTTGATCAAATTAAATATTAATCAAATAAAATTAAATGTCAATTTGATGTTGATTTGATAAAATTGTAAATTATTTTTGTATTAATTTGAGTAAGGATAATTAAGTAAAATAGGAGTTCTAGTAAGGGTGTGTTTGATAACCTAACTTAAGTCTTAAAACTGAACACTTTCGGTGCTTAATAAATTAAACTCATTTGATAACTCAATATTACAACTCCTTAATAAAATAAGTGCCACATAAATGCAGGGCAAAATTTTAAGGAGCTCTATGCCTACTTAATATTGAAGACTAAATACGCTCAACAATTAAGTTTTTTAATAAAATTTTATTTGACAAATTTACCCTAATAGTTTTACAACCCTATCACATATCTCCTTCATCGCCTTTGCGTCTTATCCACAATCTCTACCTTCTTTGTTGCCTCTGCCAGCGCCATCCAACAAACCCATGTATGTTATTCTTATCTTCTTCCTCCATTCTTCCTCTTTTCTTCTTGCTCCATTCTTCCTCTTTTCTTCTTGATACAACACACACAAGCAGTAACGTGAACGAACAAACGTGAACCAATAGACAAAAATCCACCGACTGCCCAATCGAGAAAAAAAATAATTTCATTAACTACCCAACCAGCAAGGCAACCGAGAAAAAAAAAATTTCAATCCTCCTCACCGACAAACAACACAAACATCCACTGCCCATCACTAACAGCCTCACCCACAAACACACATATGTAAATTTGCATCTTGAGGACCACTGAGAATGTAGAAATTCAAAGGAATTGATCTAACTACATGAAGGATGCAAAGAACAATTTGGGTCAATAAGTTTCAATTATTTAGTCTGAATAGTAGGACAATTTTTCAAGGCATGTAATTAATGCTTTTCTTATCCATCAATTACACCTTTATCTTTAGATTTTTTTTGAGTTCTCCAAGGAATTTACTCCTACAAAATACTTGCAACAACAGTCTATCAGAGGATGACTTTTGATACTTTATTTTTTCATACTATATTTGTTCTGGTATATTTTCCAATGAAATCAAGATTTATGACTCACTTGTTGTGGATTTGAAATAGTATTTAATATGGTGTAGATCATAGTTATAAGTGATACTTTTACTTAGTTTTTTCAAACTTGTTCCTTTTAATTAAAGGTTTACAAGTACCCCCAGTTTGATAAGAATTATTTTATTTCTCTTGTAACTAGAGGTGGTAATATTTACCCATTATTCATTAATATGTCTAACCGGTCCAGAAAAAAATGAGTTAAATACTTACACTAATTAATGCGGATTCTAAATGAGTTGGATAATATGATTAATTTT